TTTCTTAATGATATTCCAGGCTACCGCTGTAAAATCGACAACTTTTTATAAGTTGTTTACAACGTATGTTAATTTGGCCTTACGCCAAATGGTGAGATCGGTTCTCATTCTTTACCCCAAATATACACCTTCCCGAATAGCTACAAAACAAACCACTGTGCCAAAAATGTGGGAATTGAGGTACAAAACATGAATCATATATATCAGACGAGGACAATACCTATCCGTCAAACCTCAAAAAAAGTGTTATACTCGACGTGTACACGGGTCACCGTACATTAATTCAATTAAGATGTTTGTAAGTTTCTTTCAGTGAACAATCGTGTCACCATGATCAAAGTCTTAATAACTTGTCTTACATGTATCAAGGCGCTATAAACCTTGGCAATTTCAATTTGGTGTGAAAAAACCTTATCCTTTTCTTTCTTATTCCATTTTATATACCAGAAAGGTCTTAGAAAACGCCCTGAATAGTACGGTGACCCGTTATGGTGACCCGTCCAATCGTGTCACACCGGTACAGTATGTTGCCGAGTATCCGGACGGTACCAGTATCCGGACACTTGAAACAAAAATTCAATTTTTGAGGCGCCCTTTCCAGTTCTCGGTAAATGAAGTATTTCGAATGAAAGCTGAACATTTCAGCATAAGATGAAAGTTGTGGCGATTTAAAAGCTTTCGAAACAGTCGCAGAAGACGCCGTTCTGTTCAGGTGAGTAAACTTTTCATGGCTAACACTTACGCTGTTTACTGCGCAGTAAAATTAGTGCTGCTCAGAAAAGGGAGGGTAATGAGTGATGTTTTCAAAGAAACCTTTTTATTTTTAAAGTGAAGATACTTAAGGAAGTCAGGTTTTCAGAAAGTTTATTAATTCTTCTTGAAATTCGATTTGTTTGGAATAACGGAGGCCAGAAACATTCTGGTATTGATGTCAGGTGCCCAGTATGCGGACAGTTTTTTTTTTGCTGTACAGAATCGATGAATTAGCTGTGTACATTATCCGGATAAGATTTATTTCATATCAGTAACTATAATGAAAGCTTTGATATGTGATATAGTCGTAAAATGTAATTTTACTCAACTCTGTATGGAAATTTTCTTCACTCATTCAGAGGCCACTTGATTTCGTGTGCACGGCTTGTTTCGCGTGACTGCATTTTCTATATATAGCCCGAAAGCGTCTGAGTTGAACCTGGAATTCTCATACTTTCCCCAGTTGTGACTGCTAGAATGGGGTCGCAACGGTCTGAAAAATGTCACAAAGGGATTGAGATATGTGAAAGAAGGAGGAATTAGTGCTAGAAAAGCAGGCTTATCGTGGGGACAGAGCATGAAGAAATCAACACTGCAGGTCAGACTAAATAGGAGAGTGACCGTCGGATTGAGGTCCCTTCCCCAAGCTTTTTTAAAAATAAAAAATGAAGCAAAAGAGCTTGCAAACTGCGGCTTCGGCTTGTCCACGGATGCCTTCCTTAAATCAGTGAAAAAGTTCCTAGACAAGGAAGTGAGAATTATACCATTTTTAAAACAGCCGCTCGCGTTCCCCACCATACCCCATATCTCCCCCACCAGTCATTTGTTATGTTGTTTTTTTTTCACGATGCTAGGTTATATTTTTGGAATCAATTTCCAGACTACTTTGCAAGTGCAAGAGAAGCTTATAAGTCGCTTGCCTGTCGAAATTTATGTACAATTACGTTGTTATTGTTGTGTCCGGATACTGGGCCAGCTGTCCGGATACTGGGAAACATAGGAGCTCTGCAAAAATATTAATTTCGCGATGGAAACAAAGGCAAAAGAGTTAACTTGTCTTTTGTCATATTAAGGACTAAATAGATTTTCTCTGGGCCAAATTTCAGAGCTCTTGCGATTAACAAAGGAAAGTTATTGCAATCTTAAACTGAAGTGTCCGGATACTGCAACATACTGACATATTAGCGGCAAAATACATCCCTGCGAAATGATACGCGCAGTTTTGACTCATCCGTTGTTCACTGTTAAAACGCAATAAGTACAAAGCTTTTTAAAAACCTTGGAATGTTGTAATTAAAGAAACAAACACTTCTTTCCTCTATTGATTATCTTCTCTCTTTCTCTCCTTGAAATCTCTAATTTTCTTCCAAAAAAATGGCTCCGAAACGTGTATATACGTGCCTAGCGATTTCCCGCCACTAGAGCCAACGAGGAGTCACATACCTAAAATTCCTCTAAAACACAGTCTCAGTCAAAATTGTTGGGACACTTTTGTGTCTCCTTGTCCCGTCAATGTTTGAACAATGTTCAATGTTCAATGTTCTAAACCGCGATAAACAACTTTGAGAGGGACAAGGGGAGCACGAGAAGGAAAAAAACAGCGTTTGGTCTAAGGGTTCCAACTATTTTTGTCTGAGACTAGTTTAGGTTACACAAATTTCACAAATCTAGTATAAAAACGGTAGTTGAACTAACAGTTGAACTCAAAACGTGTGTAATATTATAGTATCATAGTATAGAGAATGAAAATACTAAACTATGATGTTGAAGATAAACAATCTGACTATAAACAGAAAGTTCCATTTATGCCTGACAGGTGCTTTAGAATGCTCATATGCGGCCCTTCAGGTTCGGGTAAAACTAATCTTCTTTTGGACATGATCTACAGATTGCTCTATTATGACAAGATATACCTGTATGCCAAAAATCTGCAGGAGAGCAAGTACCAACACCTGATAAACTTTTTTGAGCATATTAGTAAAGAAGCTGGTTACCCTGTTATTGAAGCTAGCAATGACAAAATATTCCCTCTTGATAAGATTCCGTGTGATAATCAAAAGCTGGTCATTTTTGACGATTACCTCAATACAGGAACAAAGAATGATGCTGAAATTAGGAATTATTTTACCAATTCCAGAAATAAAAACTGCAGCTGTATCTAGTATCTATTTATCTCGGAGCTATTATGGTACTCATAAGACGATAAGACTAAATTGAACACATCATTGTATCTTTGAATTTCCTTCCAGAAATGAGCAGGATATGATATGCAGAGAGCTTGGGATCAGCAAATCTCACTATCAGAGAGCCACACAGGACCCATATGATTTTCTCTATGCAGATAAGCCCAAAAAACGTATTGCCAAGAATTTCAATAAAAAGATGTAATCTAATATACATATCTGTCTGATTTCGTTAAAACGTGGCAACTGGGTTTTCGACTGGCGCCGGGCGCAGCCCGGCTCCAGGCCAGTCCGGTGCCCAAAAATGTAGGGGGATTTCCCGTCTTGGTCGGTACAGCTGGATATCCCAGGGACCGCCCTAACAGTGGGTGGGTGGATCAGGCCCTGGGGTCAAAACTAGTGTGGTAGGGAGGGGGCTGTTTTGACACAACCCCTTCAGTAAGCAACAGTGTTTAGTGCAGGTTTTGACTGGCGAGTACCTTGGTCTTAATTTGCCCTAGCCAGCTGAATCAGGCCTCTGCTGAGAATGATTATCATGATAATTGCAGAGCTCAGTGGGTGTCGCTGTCTTAGTTGGGGGGGTTAAATTTAGATTGTTTGTAGGCACCTTCCTGTTAAATGCAAAGACTATTTAATGCTTGTGTTTGCACAGGGTTAACGGATTTTGCCGAGAACGCGATCGCCTCTTAGTGAGGTATGAAAATCTTATAAAGCCCTTGGCGTTTGCTTTCTTAGTGCATTGTTCTGACATAACGTGTTTACGGGGCAAACGTAAGATTGGTTATAATTTCAAAATCATACTTGTGGCAAACTCTCTCATTTTATAGTTCTTTTGCTGGTTAAGTTGAAAGTGTGTAAAAGTAAAAAAAATGACTACGGTTACACAAGAAGAAATAACAAAAGTAGTTGACTGATTTATTTTTTACAGGAGGGTCTGGCTATTGGAGAACTCTGAGGTGTGGTCTTGATAATTTCAGAGAAGTTCAGTCGTTTCCGCAATTTCATGTGTGGCCACCAGAAAAACACGTGGATTCGCTGAGTTTCTGTCCGCAACATAGGGTTTGACGTTGGCGTTTTCCCTCGAGTGGTTCACGGTGGCACCCCATGTCAAAGCTTTCTTTGGGTCTCCTTCGTATGGGTCAATACTAGAAACAGAAAGAAACCCAATTAATTATTGGTGGTTTTGCAACTTCATTTGGAATTACAGTCATCAATTTGTGAAAGATTGATCTGAAATAAATTGCCCGAAACTAAAGCTATTCAGTTTCCTAGGCCTCAAGAATGTCTAGATATAATATCTCTTATAATAAGGTAACTGTTATTACGAATGCACTACAAAATTGCATCTTTTTAAATGTACGTTTCTTATTCTAGGACTGTGTCGGCATTTTCAGTTGTATAAGAAACCTACCTAAAGAAAAATTGAAAGTCTATGAGAATGTGCCTGTCATTTTCTTAACTTAATGTATTTTACAAAAAATAATTAAGTTAAGAAAACACTTAGACTTTCAAATTTTCTTTAGGAAGGTTTCTTATGGGTTTGGTAAATGAAATAGGGACAGAAACTTTTGACCGTTGTACTTGGAACATTATAAAATCCTCTTCACTTTTTTTTCTGTGTTTGGCTGGGGTAGGGTGAAGTGTGACAAGAGTGAGAAGCAAAACTACGTATGTGTAATTTGCCTTATTATCTTGTCCACTGTTGGTATTGAATTTGAAATAGACATTGATGCGTCACTCATTTTTATTTCTCTTTGTTTTGCAGACATGTTACATAAATGGGAAGCCAGACTTCGCAGCTGTAGAAAATACATTGTCATGATATGTAAGATTGTTTTCAGTAATTGGCCCTGTTGACTTGGAGAGTTCTATAGCCGGCTTGTCAAAGACAAAGCTGCTTACCTCAAAGCCCAGAATTTGATGCTTACAAGGCTTTTGGAAGCTACAGATGCCAATAACAATTGCACAGCTCTCATATGGAGTGTTTGAAATGCTACCTAACAATTTCTGGGGGCCAAAATTTAAAAGAAATGTAAATTATCGTCTGTACCGTAAAATTAATACTCACGCAATCTGGTGTCCGGCACTTTCAATTACCATTAAAACACATGGCCTGCCTTCTTCTTCATAGTGTTTTCCACGGATTTCCGCCTCCTCTAAAGAGATATGTTCTCCCTCGTACTCGCAGATCACTTCTGCTTTATTGATATCGCGTGACGCAAACGCACAAACACCTGAGCCACGCGGATCACTTGGTACATTATGCAACTAAGGATGAAAAAAATCACATCAAAATTCTTTTCTGGGTAAATGAATACCTTACCAACCGAGTTGGAAGTCAGTACTGTTAAGGCCCTGTTATGTGGAGAAAAGATGTACCAAAAGGAAGGTCACCTTCCTAGCCGATTCAACTAAAACGAAAGTTTTTATGAGTAAAGAGTCTTTGCCAGAGTCAACAGCGGTCTCGCCTTGAACAAGTTGATCCGGCTGGGCGAGGCAAAGTGTTACAATGAAAAAAAAAAATTGCCTGGCTAGAAGAATGACCATACTATCGGAAAAAGGTGAATTTCTCAACCGGGTCATCTTTCAAGCTGAGTCATCTTTTTGTTTCTCTTGTGAACGGTTTCAACGCTTAACAAGAAAACTTAAGTTGGTTCGTTTAGGATAGGGAAGCCGTTTCTTCTATCCGCCACAAGTTAACTTCATATAAACGTGGCCTGAGTTACGAGGAGGTAGTTTTGTCTGTAATAAATGAACCAAGAGGAAAACGCTTTGGATATCAATGAAATGGGACAAACATAGATCCTTAATTTGTAGGGGGCTAGAAAGATGTTTCTTATACGGTAAAAACCGGAGACTAATACCCTGCATTTCCAAGATGAGCTTAAACAGCATCTTCCGTAAATGGATTAGCACAAATTTACGCTATTTAGGTTGTTGAATAAAAGGTTCTTATGGGTTCTTAGGTTCCATGGCCTCTGCGTTCGCACCGCAGTGCTATTTAATTTCTATCACGTGACCCAATTAATGAACTTTACTGTTCATTACATCTACTCAAAGATTAGTTGTTTCAAGTTGTTTTTATCCAAAGGATTTACTGCGCTTTTCAAAAACACGCGTATCTGGAGTTCAAAAGCCAACCGACGTTTGAGTTTTTCGCTGCCGTCAATCATCTTAGCGGACCTATTAGGAAACAGAACTTTACTTAAACGGGCTCAAAAGGTCATGGTTTGTGATCTGTGATTGGTGGATTTCGATCCGTTTTGTGTGTTTCTGTGTTGTGTTGTGTTTTGGGTGTTGCAAGGTTCTTTGCTTGCGATCGTAATTATGATTGACGGCAGCGAAAAACACAATTGCGAAGGCGGCTTTTGAAAAGCGTGTTTTTGAAAAGCGCAGTAGTTTGAGCTGTTTTTATCTGCCTATTATATATTTAAATTTTGCCGTAAACATGACTCTAAATCTGTGTATATATCTATCGTTCATTCATCTCCGGGACGCGGCTAACTTTGGAGTCTGGTAAGCTAAGCTACTCAACGAGTCGCGTAAAAAACTTTCTTTTACTTTTTTAGGAGTCTTAAAATATGTATATAACTCGAAGTGATTTTAGCACTTGCCTTGTAAAAAGATCTCTTCTTCATTAGATATTTGGTTTGTCCGTGAACACTGTCACCTTGAGTCCACAAGGCAACAGCGTTAGTATACTCTCCGAAGATATCTTCCTTCGCTACAAAGCTTTCCTCTTCCCTATATAACTCGAAGTGATTTTAGCACTTGCCTTGTAAAAAGATCTCTTCTTCATTAGATATTTGGTTTGTCCGTGAACACTGTCACCTTGAGTCCACAAGGCAACAGCGTTAGTATACTCTCCGAAGATATCTTCCTTCGCTACAAAGCTTTCCTCTTCCTTAGCTATGGCGAGACTTATAAACTTATCAAGAAAGGGACATTTCGCCCCTCGTCTGCTCTTCATCATGACCTGCCTAACGTTAGCAAATCGGCTTGACATTTTTTACATCCACATGCAATGTGCAGTTCGAATGAAGGCGTTTTGAACTGTTTCGTTGCTTTTACTCGGCAGGAGCGCGGCAGCTTGCGGAATTTGACGCGAACTATGAGACAGAATTTTCTCACGGTAAAAAGCGAAATAACCATGCAAAGTTGTAAACCGGTGTTTTTGGTTATATCCCCGACTGTTCAATGATCAGCTGCCAATGTATGTAGTATATGTACCAGGGAGGCGGAAAGACGGATTAACCAGAACGAAATTAGCTTTTTAGTTCATTTCATATGGCTTTCAAAAAAAAAATGGAGCATGTGAAAGGGATGTTTAAGAGAAGCATCACGGCTTCTTTCTTGTATGAACAAATCAGAGTTCAGGAAAACTAAGAAACACTTTTACCCTATTCACTTCAATTAAACATGTTAGTAAACCAGTGTTCAAAAAATGAAGAAAAATAAAGACACACAGGACACGGAAAACTGGAACATTGGTTTTTACAAGTCTCAAATGTCTCAAATAAAATTCAACGTGTTTTCTAAGTTGCACTAATTTTGTAATAAACTTGAATCACGTTTAGTAAGCAGTTTTCATGAAGAAAACAATTTTAAACCGAAAAATCTACGGAGAATATAGGACTGCCGGTCATTTAGTGTTTTGGAAACCTTGACCGGCAAGTCGAGCTGAAAAAAGTTAAGAGTCACAAACAATGGTTTCGTCTTCTTTATTCTTGAGATCTATAAAGCATTTCAGGATCGCTTTCTTAATCGACATATGATAGTTTGGTTTAGCTGGATACTTTTGGATTTGTGAAATTTACTGAAAAGACAGGACTGCCGGTCATTTAGTATTTTGAAAACCTTGACCGGTTACCGGCCATGTATAGCCACAGCGTTTTTTTAATGTTAATATTCAATATATAGTTGTTGTTCCTTTCTTTCTTACTTAACGTTTATTTTACTTTGTTTCATTTGTTATTATATTGATTGTTGGTACTGAAATCTTCATGTCGAAGATAAAGTCAATAAAGTTGTTATTAACTCGATTGAGTTTTTCCTGTTTCAGTTTTGGTCAATTTAGCACTGCGTATTGGTGCCTTGTTCTACCTACTGCAGCTTGTTGCACCGCACTTTTGCTGCGCTTCAAGGTCTTTTTTGATTGTTCTGAAAGGAATATCTCTGGGTATGCTAACTCGATTCTGCCGATTACAGAGATCTTGTCATGTTGGCAAAAAAAAACCGGATGAGTTTGTTAAGTGAAAGAGGGCCAGCCCGAATTCTTCAGGCGAGAATAACCTGTAGACGTAGAACTAAAACAAGTCGACAAAAACTAGCTATCAAAGGTGCGGTTTTGTGAAAAAAAATTGTAGGAATCGATGCGAACGAAAGGAAACACACTTACCTACACTTATTGTGTGACGTCCGTAAGGCTCAAGAACGTGACTCGGGAAACGTGAAATCCTACTTTTGCCAGATGTTTCTGGTGTGTTCTTAGTCTCTTCTTAGACCCATGTAAAACATAATTCTTTTTGCTACGTCACACGCCGTTTCTGGCATTTTCTTGCAAACATCGATAAACTTTATAAAACTTAAAGAAGCAGTCAGCGCTTTTTAGTTAGAAACTTCATCACAAAACATAATAGACATGTTTCCAAAGACCATAGGTTTGCATTTGGATTTTGACAAATCAGTCAAGACTCCCAAGGTCACTTCCCAAGACGCGTATTACTCTGCGAGGCTTAGAACACACCATATGGGTATTTACTGCTTTAACAACGCAAATATCTACTGTTTTTTCTATGACGAGACTGTAGGTACCACAGGACCAAATGAAGTAATATCGTTGTTGGATTTTTTACTTGCTCAACTGGAAGAGGAGCTTGGAAAACATGAACATCTCATAATCTGGTGTGATAATGCTCCGGGACAATTCAAGGAATACTTTCTTTTTTTTTACCTGGACTATATAGTACGAAGGGGGCAATATCTAAGGGTTGACTTAAGATTTTTGCTTGAGGGTCACACTTACTCTGTTTGTGACAGACGATTTGGAAGTATACAAACTCTTTTTGAAAGACATGAGGTTATCGACATACCACGAAAATGGGCAACCGTCTTGGAACAAGGGAAACTATCCAACGTCCGAGTCTACTGGGTTGCACTTGACATGATAAAGGACTACAAATCCTTCCTTCGACTACAGTGCGTGAGGCGAAATGCAGATTTGGAGAAAGAGAGATTTGAAGTCAAAAGCATCGCCTGGCTTAATTTTGGATATGGAGAAACTGTGGACGAGAATGATAAACTTCAACTGATACACCACCCCGACTGTGTTTTGTGAGATTCGAATTGAATCCTAAACAATTGCCACGAGAAGTTTCCTTTATATCAAGGCATGTGTTCAAAACAAGGCCCAACTCTGCGCGAGCTCTGCTTGCATTTCCGGTTACGCACTTTCCGATAAGGAACAGAATTAAAACATAAACAAACAACTGTGTTGGATAAATCTGGCCACGGTTGTGGCAGGTTTAATGAAATCAAAGCTAACAGAATGACAACACATCGATATATGTAAACCGATTAACCTACTGAATAAAAAATGAGGCGACAAAAATCCGCCACAAGCCACACAACTGTGGCTGAAGCCCCACAAAAAGAAGCAAAGCTCGCGTGAAAGCTGGAAAGCGAAAAATTGTTGGACACTTGTAAAACTATGAAGAAGAAGAAGAAAAAAAAATTGTTAATACTAAACGTGACGCCAACGAAACGGCAGCCCTTGTCTGAACCGTGATATTGAACGTCTGGTACAAATTAGAGAGATGACAATCGATAGGAAAATTCGGACTTAAAAATTGTCAACCAAGTAGCAGGCCAATGATTGACCTACGCAACCAGCATAAGAACAAAAGTGCTAAAAAACCGCCTAACATTAAGACAAGGGAAACGAGAGATAATGCCAACCAAGTAGCAGCCCAATGACTGACCTACCCAACAGGCATAATAACAGAACGAGCTAAGTCATACGAAACGAGAACTAATGCCAGCCAAATAGCAGCCCAATGACTGACCCATTCAGCAGGCGTAAAAACAGAATGAATAAGATTAGGAACTAACAACTCAAAGGTCAGTTAAAAATGGTTTTCTAAGCCCACCAAGTAGCAGCCCAATTGTCTGACCTACTCTCGACACGTGGGCAAATCAATTAATTAGCGTGAAGAACTTCCGACCTCAAATAAACTTTAAATGCGTCGGATTTCCAGCGACCAATAGCACGAATTTGCGCGTCAGAACGACCCTTTTCAGCGGCATGGCACGCGCCTCCAATGCGAAAGCTATGACTCTTGTACCGACTACTGTCCAGACCACAGTAAGATAAGCACTGCTGAAGTGCGACATTGAATTGGTGAACAGAGATGGGGGTCCGATCAGTGTGACAAAAAAGGGTTAGGGTTAGGGTTAGGGTTAGGGCCCTGGACGATTTTCCCTGATATTACAATACTGATATAGGGCTGTAACAGGGCAAAAAGGGGAAGAGACATCCTTTGCAAGTAAAATGTCAAAAGGTCTGCGACAAGCGTTATGCTTATACTCGGTAATAGTAATCCTTGCCCCCTGCACTTGGCCTTGACGAAATAAGAATGTTAGATTACTGTACTGAACGACAGAACGCGCAAATCGTGTGCTCTTGGAGGCCAGTTCACCTATGCGAAAAAGACCGTAAAACGCGACAAGAAACATCGCCGAAAAAAGAGAACGCTGAAATGCCGAAGAGTTAGAAAAAGTAAGAGAGCGAATCAGCTGGTGCAATATGGGCCGTGTAATTGGCAGACGAATGTCCGACGGCTGTTGACGGCTCAAAGCTGTCAACAGCTTGTCAATTAGAAAAGATTTGGTAGGGTCATTAAAACCTTTGAGCTTATGTGCATAGGAAATGGCAGAAAGATATGATTTGATCGTGGAACAGGCCAATTTACGAAACGAGAGATAAGAAATAAAAAGAGGGATACAAGTAGGAGGTAAAGGTAAAGGAGGAATGGTTGAACCGTACAAGTGAGCATAGAATTGGCGGAAAAAGACCCACGCACGCTGATACAGCCGCCGCGAGCTGGCTGTCAGAGTAGAATTTAGTAGACCTGTCAACTTGGCACCCAACTCTTCGGCAATAGGTTCTCGGGGATGGGGGTCGGGAACTGGTCGGCTTCTAGTGAAAGTTCCTTGAACTTCGTTACCTGGGAACGTGAAATGTAATCGGCACTAGAATTGATTAATCCAGGAATATGGCGAGCTTGAAATATTATGTTATGTCTAAGGCAACTTAGCACTAAATCCCTTAATAGCACCATGATACCCTGGTGTTTAGACGTCTGATTATTTATAATGTCAACAACGGCGGCAATGGCAGTGAAAAATATGATACGTTTATCTGCCATTATGTGCCCCCAAATGTGAACAGCAATGACAATGGGAAAAAGCTCCAAAAGCGCGATGTTATAAGATTTCCAGTGGTTCGGCCAAGTTCCGTGAAGCCAAGGGCGATCAAAGACCGCACCAAAACCTATCGAACCTGCTGCATCAGTATAAAGCTGAAGACTCTAGGATGTTTCCCAAACGTCACTTAAGAAAAACGATCGCCCGTTAAAATCGTCAAGAAAACGGAGCCAAAGGATGATATCTAATTTAGCGCCTCGCGAAAGACGAATGTGATGATGAGGTTTGTTGACGCCTTTGGTAAGATCTATCATGCGACGCAGAAAAGCTAGACCCGGAACAACCACGAGGCATGTAAAATTCAATAAACCTATCAGTGATTGGAGTTCCTTTAGGCAGACGGAGCGCCGGGCCTGGAAATTTTGTAACATCGCACGACATTTGAGAAGTTTGTCTTCTGGTAGGCGCGCCTCTTGGCGTACAGAATCAAGCGTAATTCCAGCAAATTTTAAAACAGTTGCGGGACCCACCGTTTTTTCAGGGGCCAAAGGAACGCCAAGATAATTACACATCAAAATAAAA